ACAGATTTAATACCATTTATCATGATATTATGGATTAAACAGTAACTAACGGTTGACAATGACAATGTTATCATGAGAGCTGCAAAGAATGGCTAGAATTTGATTGTGGCAGCTATTACCATTGTGGGCAAGCACAAGCTTGTTGAAGTTTTGGCTGGGACTCAAAGGCTGGAATGAGCCTGTTCAGATTTAGGGGCAGTTTATTTTTCATTCAACAAAGGTTTATCTGCCCCTGCCCCGCAAGTTAACCCCCAGAATTGAAACAGCTTGAAAAATGATTCATCTTTCTGCTAACAGGTTCCTGATGTTAAAGGTCTGACCTGAAAAAGAGCAGTGCACAGGTCAGACTGCAAGGGTGGATAGGGGAGTGAGTTGCCCCTGACCTGCAACCCTACCAAATGTAGCTATTTTAATAGCCAAGGCAGTGTATTCCAGATCAGCAGCTAAAGAGATGCCTTCCAGCTAAGTCTTTCCTAAATATTAACTCTGTCAGTGCTGGATGATCTCACTGTGGAGATTTGCTGGGCTTGACAGTACCTCTGATGGTAAGGCTCTTTTTAAGCATCTGCAAAGTTCATAGCAAGTGGGCATTTCCTTGGCGCCACTGCCTCTTGTTCCTCAATGCATCCAGAGGTGAGCCCATTTCTCTTTCATTTAAGAGACAAATATCAGCCATGCAAGGTCAAGTATTTCTGAATTCAAGTTTCAAAAAAATGAGGGGCTGGCTAGTCTGCAGCACTGTCAGCTTCTTCACTGGTATACCTCAAACCTAAAGCTAATGAGACCCTCCTCTATCTATAAGAATGGAGTTGAATCTTCATGGTGTCTCTATCCTTGGCCTCTCTTTTATGAATATCACATTAGGTGATAAGCGCCGTAACCATTGTTGTGGTGAAGTTGATATTTGTCTATTAGCAACCAACAGAGATGACGCAAGTCATTTTGGGCATATCGTTAACCAGCCCCTAGATGGTAATGTCTTTTGGTCACTCACTAAATGGGGTTGGATTTGGATTCATTAACTAGAGATGAAAGACACTATATATGTCTACGCATTACAAATCTTTTGGGCTATCCCATCCCCTTGAACAGACATTGCATTAAATAAAGCAGTGCTGCCAGCCAGAAGTAATCAAGGAGTTAAAGAGAGAGAGAGAGGAATCATCTGCAATTGTGAATGCTTATTGTGGCAGGTGTCTTCAGGCAACACTGACGCTGGCTGCTGCACTGTTGCAATGGCTGCTCTAGGACTCTTAAGGGCCAGTACGCTTTTGCGATAATTAAAAAATCCCCAACAACATCCATTACATTACCTTTGGCGTTCCCTGCCCTGCACTATTCTGTTCTCTCACATCTCCTCAAGGAGGCATAGCTGTAGAGCATGCAAACCCTAAGAGTGCAGCTAACCAGTGAATTATAATTAGCGAGGTGCTCTAATAGCTACAAAGGGGCTGTGCATGGTATACCATACCCATTTTTCCAGGCTGAAGTGAACAACTGAAGTGCATTCTGCCTCGTACCTGAAAAACAGTGCAGTTGAAGAGCTGTCCCATTTCCTAAACAAGCTCAGTGCTTTGGAGGCAGGGGAAAGCAGGTGATGTGCAAGCTGCAGCCACTTTTTCTGCTTGTGCCACATAAAGCTGCTTGGGGATGCAGTGAGGCAGGAATGGATCTTACGTGGAGCACCTCCTCCTGTTTGTGAGCATCTTGTATTTAGGACTGTAGAACAGAAATAATAAAAAAAGTCAATGTTTGGAGATGATGACAAGGTGCCTACTCACAACTGGGGGCAGCCATTGCATGAGTCCAAGTAAGGCTCAAATTTACACCTTCCAGAACGGTAGTAAAACACTTTAGTTGCTCTGCCATTTTACCCCTGTATGGCGCATCTATGCATGCCTCTATGGCACCGTTGTTACTGCGCCGTCATTTAGTACTTTCTTTAGTCACTATGTCACCGTAGCAATGTGCTATAGTGAGGGGGTGTCTCACTACGGCGACAAAGCTGTGCCTGCCGATGTTACACCGCTGTAGTGCTTTGCTACGATGCTAGCGCTTTGCTAGCATCTCGTATAGATGTGCCCCTTAGAAGACAAATTCTGCAGATTTTCCGTGCATTTGGTGAAAATATGCATGGTGCATTTCCTCAGTGAGAAAGGAAGCCAACTCTGTGCCATATCTTTATTCTCCCTGATCCTGGCTGAAGCTAAGAATTGGTCAGCTCCTAGGAGCAGCTGTAGAGCAAGCATAGTAATTTAAGTGCAATATGCTCTGGATGCGCAACTTCCCACCATCCCAAATCTTGCTAAGGTGACACCTCACGTAGTCAGAGGAAGGGTCTGCAGTTGTGCGACACCCAGGTTTGCCACTTAGGCAAAGAAAATCTCTTGCGGTCAGTTTTCTGAATGGGATGAAGTGCCAGCAGGAGATGAGAGCAGTCAATTTAAATGATTTACTTCTTTGGGTACTATGTTTTGTTTCTGCTTCTCAATGTTTAGGGAAAATCCTGCAAATGTGCAAGTCTCTTGTTGGTGTATTTTGTTCTTAATACAATATTCTACAGAGAGCCACCAGATCTCGTTCTTAGGGCGAAGCACTCTTGCATCATACCGTCTGTTGGGAGGGAGAGATGTGGAGACACAACGGAACGATGTCCAATGTTTTCTGTGTGTGTGCATGCGCACACGTGAGTGAGACCCGATGTCTATGCCTCAGACATTTAACAAGACATGATTCTGGAAAATAACACACCTTTCAAAGCGGATATTATCCCTGTCTAAATATGCAAAATCAGGCCTTACCATGAGTAGATCTAGGGCTAACATGACAAAATCTAGAAACAGTACCTGTGGACATGGAGGATTCCAAGACGACAATAAAAGGTGTTGACGGTTCCTCTTTATTTCTGAAGATGTGGGTGGAGGATAAAACATAGTGTAATCTCACAAGACAACACTGCCCCAAATTAACTGGTGAAAGTCCTGCTTGAATGAACCAATATTTTTAGACTCAGTCAGTAGCCTCCCCTTCCATTTTCTTCCTTGCTATTTCTGACTGGGTTGTGAGATTCACTTTGGTATCTGCATGTGCTATTTGTAGGGTGCTTTTATAACAGTGCTGTGATAACACTATCTGAGCAATCACAAGTCCTCTTGCTTTCCACTTTCAGCCCATGAAGTGCTGGTTCTTACTGCCCAATTTCCCACCTGTAGCCAAAGGACAGGAACGAACCATCCATCAAACAGAAAAATGAAAGACTAGAAGGTAAGGATCATGGTAAGGCATTCATTATTCATCCTTCGGTTTTTTTAGCAGTCATCATCCAGTAGCACACAGAGGACCCAAGTAAGATCAGGCCTCCATTTGGTCTGGCCCTGCACAGAGAAAGAGTCTTTGCCCTAAGCCCAAAGACAAAAGGTAGACAAGTAACAGGAGGAAAAACAGACTGGAAGTGATTTATCCGTGATTACACACAGGAGGTCAGTAGCAAAGTGGTGGCAAAAATCTCTGTGTTGGTAAATCCCAGGCCTGGGCCTTATCTGCACCAGACACTACTGCCTGTCAGGTTCTACAGTTTTCAATTGAATTATAAATACAGTGGGTGTTATATTATATCATTGAAAGCAAATTTGTATATACCAAATAAACACAAATGCATCCGTTTAATACATGACATCTCCTTTTCCTTTTAGTTCTGCTTCGATGCCAAGAGTGACAGACACATCAGAAATAAACCAGAATATGAGAGCGAGAAAGACAAATCAGTGAGCGAGCAAGCATGCAAGAGCAAGCACGCGCATCCTTTTGCCGTATTCTTCAGTATTGTTTTAATTTGTGCTTATGGCACTAGTTTACTATCACATCAGTGATGGTGGTGATATCAGTTTTCACTCTCATATTAAGCAGAATAAGCTGAAGAAACAAGCCCCAGATGTTGATATGAGTAAAGCAAAAAACACGATTTCCGAGTAAGTGGGTTCATGTTCCATTTGGATTTCCCACAATGCAAAGTCCTACCGGAATCGCCAACCCAGTCAGAGCGCTTCACTTGACCACTTATTCTATTGAATAAAGCATAAATGGCTGCCATAGCAACTGCTGCATCCTTATATATCAGATTATTTTACCAGTTCGGCCCTTTGAGACTTAGCATTTCACTCATGAGGCACACATTAGTTATGCTAGTTGTACTTTCTGATGCCTTGGGTAATTTTTTGACACTGTTTGTATTTTACAGTGTACTGAAACATTTCCCTACATTTTATTTGAATATTTTAGGCTCTTAAAATATAACAAGATGCAAAAATAACACAACAGGATGATATGGACTGAATATGTGTCTGCAACAGCATCTCTCTAGTACTTATTGGAGTAGTTTGGCTACTCTTTTGTTATATTGGGTTATCTAACACTTTGGCAATCCCACTGACATCAAGGAAGTAGTGGGGAGCTCAGGTAATATGTGGTACTGGATTTTTTATATTAGTTTCACATGGGAATTGGCTGGGGGTAAATGAATGACTCAAAGGGTGCATCTACATGAGATGCTTTGAGTGCAGTAGACTAATTCTACTGTGCATTAGTGCAGCGGGCAAAACCTGTGCTAATGGGCAGTAGAATTAGTGTCACCAAAACATCGGGCACTGGGACTAATGTGATGTAGTGCCAATTACGGCGCATTAAGATAGTATCTGTAACCATGGCATACTAATGAATGTGTAGATGCCCCCTATGTGAGTAAGGCTTCATAACCTGGGCTGCTGTGCTTGGCATTAGTACTGCTACTTTGAACTAAGTTTACAAGGGAGTTTTGATTTATTTCATACTCTGAAGCTGTACTACTGGAAATCAAATAATGTGCTCTCCTCTTAGCCACAATAGTCATTCTTTACCCATCTAAATATTCCCATTGAGAGTCTCAAATTTTACTTTGTGTGTCTCCAGATAATGCCCAGAAAAAGACACCTTTTACGCGTAGAGATGTCAACAAATATGCACCAGGGCTCGGACCCACTCTGACTGAGCTCAGGGTTGAAAGTCTACTGCATTCCCGGCAGTCTGGCCAGCACGATGTGAAAACATTTGCTGAGAAGCTTCCAATCATTCTGCCTTCTCCTGGCTCCCCAGAATAATCTCTGAAGACACTGAAAAGGTAAGTACGGGCGTGTTATGTTCGGTGGTAGTAAGATAATCCATATCAGATGTGGCATCCAGAACTACAGCATCCAAGTGCAAAACGGACTAATTTTGTGAGAAGAAATCTGTAGAGACTTTGTCACCATGAGTTTAGGCAGGCCTGCATACTGGTTCTTCACCCTCTCTCTCATTTTTGGTGTACTCGTTCCTTGTCTTTGATTTTCACAAAAAGGCTTGTGTCAAGACTGTGCATACTTAGAACGCTCTTACTTGGGCTCAGCGTCATAGGGAAATAGGGTGGCAAGGGACCACATGAAGTCATCTAGTCCAGCCGCCTCCCTTGAGAGTCTTCCTTAGGAAGGGACTTGCTGCATTGTGCAAGAAACAGATTTCTTCATAGCCTCCACTATCAGCCTCAGGTAATGTGGTTTAAAAAGGCCCACCCTAAAAGTAATGAACACATGGATCACTGTGGTCAGATTCTACTCTAAGAAGAAATAGTAAAATTTTCCTGGAAAACTATAGGTGTGCTGGTATTCAGGATTATTGCTGAGTCCAATAGGACTCCAGGACTTTGTGCTCTCCCAGTAACCTGATGTTTCTGTTCAACAAGGGTCAAGCTACAGAACTGGTACGGACTGAAACAACTGCATACTACATAAAACTTACGGGGCTCCACATTTCATCACAACCCCCAGCTCAGACTAGGTATATTGAATTGTTTGCTAAAGTTCATAAATCTTTGAAATGAACCTAGGGTGCAAACACAGAGATGGTTCTTGTGGTTTGGGTACCAAGACCAGGCAAAGATGCACAATAGGCGTTAGGAGTTTGGGTTGTGAGACACGAAGTCCGTTCTGAACACGAAACCTATAGTGAAATGGGGATAGCATGGTTCCCCATGGATTCAAGTTAAGCGTGTCCCAGATTTTAAGGCAATAAGAGACCATTAATGATCATCTCATTTGATTTCCTGCCTAGCTTGTGTCATTTTAATATCAAATATTTTTTAGATGAGGCATATCATTTGGGGGGCATTTAGCACATCTCTTGTAGGCAGTCTAATGAACCAGTTGCTTGAGGTGAGCAAGTTGCTTGTGGGTCAGGTAAGTATGCCAAATAGGGATGCTCTTGGAGATTTGAATGTGGTAAATGGGCCCCTGTATATGGGAGCTATATGGATGCAACTGAAGAGAAAGCCAGTAATAGATTCCAAGCCAGAAATATTGTGGCTTCCTCAGCTAAACATTTCAACCCTTTGTGCTTGGGGTTTCATGGAGAGTCTTTCTACTCTTCTGTGCTGTAGAGCCACTGTTTAATTCATCTGTTCTCTTTATGTGTAGGTTCAGATAACTGAAGAAGAGTCCAGATTAGAAGAGCACATGTAACTCTTCCATCAGGCTGGTGAGTACATGCAATTCCTAAGGTCATGGTTATCATTAATCTTTGTGCCTACACTTGTCTCATTGATGTCAATACTGCTCACACTTCCAAGCTCTTGAAAATCCCACCTTGGCACCTCTTTATACCAGCACAGAGCTATTGGGTTTCTAGGGCAGGGACTGCCTTTGTCTTATACAGGGCACCATAAAAATAAAGAACAGGGTGCTGAAACACTTGGCAATAGATATAGTAACTTATAATAGGAACAGTACAAATGGACATAGCTCTGTTAACTTTAGTGGAACTATGACTTTTTATATTACCTGAGTTTCTGGCCTTGTCTCTTTATTAACTGGCTGGTACCCAGGTGTTATGCTAAAACTGTCAATTTAAGGAAGGCAGTGTGGAAGACAGGATTACTCGTAGATAGAGCACAGAAGACCTGAGCTTTCTGACTCTGTTTTTGATTTTGGACAACTTTTTCTCTCTGCCTTAGCCTCCAGTCCTACAAAAACGGCATTAATGATACCTGCTTCCTTTGCAAAGGGGTTTGCGATCTTCAGATGAAGAGCACAGTATAAGAATCAGGAATGATGATTTTTATTGTAGTCCTTATAGCTTGTTTGAGAGATGATGCATTTAAGTAGCAGGTGGGTGTGTGCTTATGATACTAAGTACTTTACAAACATACGCCTCTTTGCTATTCTTTCTGGAGGCTGAGTCCAGGTATTGCTGTCATAGATATTAGAAAGAGTAGCCAAAAGAAAGGAAAAGAAACACTGGGGAATAAAAGTGCATTTGAAAGAGAAGAAATCTACATTTCAATGCAAATACTTTCAAGCCATTTCAAATAAGAGTCCGAGAGAAATAATTATAAAGTTTGGAAAGAAAGAACGTTAGCTTTGATATCTTTCTCTTCTATGAAGCAATTAAAATAAGCAATTTTTCAAATACTAAGCAGAAAATTACTAATGGCTGAACCCAAATGCTTTCATTTCCTTCTTGGGGCTTTTATTCCTCTAAAAAAAGACCAAAAAAAAAAAAAAAAGGGAAGGTGGTTTTCCAGTTAGATTAACGCA